GTGATGTTGTAATTCTGAGTGTTTTATGTGCTGCAGAACAGGAACCTGCTGTAAAACAGCAATTATGCTGAGTCAGGCTTGATTTTTAATAATCTTTTCCTGTTAAATAAATAAATCAAATCAAAATCAATCATGTAGCCTAATCATATGAAATCCTCAAAAGGCCTCTTTCCTCTGGAGAAAACCAACATTATTGTAAGGACCCATTTCTTCATTTTTTTTCTTTCTTTGCACAATATTTTCTGCAATGTTGAGTAAGGAAATCCAAAACAAAGATGAATGCCTCTGAAACCACCTGGATACCTCCCAAACAGCAGAAAAGGACAGTGGGGGACATGTTTCATGTCATTCCGTGTGTGCAGGTTTCACACACATTTGCAGAAATGTTACATACCAGTTGTGTCAGAACTGAGAAACAGGTCAGCAGCTGCAGGCATGCCATCACCTGGATAATATGACTAAAATCCAACAATCAGGTTGCTTACAACAGACTTGACTTCTTGAAGATTAGGTAAGAACTTCGCAGCAGAAAGTTGCACTTTTTTTTTAATAAACGTGAGCTTCTCTTTGTGGACACGATCCAGAAACTAGAACTGGTTGTGCAAGAAAATAAATGCATGCACTGATTGAAACTCACATCATGTTTCTACTCAAACTCCTTTGTTAAAAGTGAAAATGCTCCAGATTTAAAAGATTTCAGTCGAAGCAGGTACCAAACCGAGCTAAAAAATAATCTAATATAGTTGTTAGATCTGTTTCGAGATTAAATATGAAGTTTGATGAGACACTTTGATTAATTTACAGATTCTGAAAAATATATATTTTAATATTGATTTGACATTTTAATCCATTCGTTCCAGCTCTCCTAAATATTTCTAAAGCATTTAAAATTATCTTTAATACTGTCATTATTTTATATACATTGCTGCTTTTATTATTTTTTCTAAGAATGGTTCCAGCCACTTGAGAAGCCGAGGGACAACAAGGACCCAGAGCCTTACAGACCCCTGCTCAGAGGTCACAACAGTAAATCAATAAATTCTACACAGCTTGTTTGATTTTCTTTATTTTTGTAGAACAAAACAATTTTCCATCTGCATATCAGTCAGAGACACAAAACTTAATCAGCAATTAAAATAACACAAAAAAGGCAAAAATAAAAAGATAAAAGTTACAAAACCACGCTGTCCACTGTCATCTCTATTCACCTGAGCATAAAACCAGGTGTGCCAGGTTACTTAATAACCATAATACAAAAAGTAAAAAGGACAACTTAATGGAGACTAAGCTACATTTGGGTGACAAATCTGAAATTTATAAGCTAGTTATTTGATAACACGGTGTTTAATACCAAACATGAGGAGGTTTGCAGACGACGGATCAGCTGGAAGATGTTTCCTCAGGCGTGTTCAAGCAGTCATGGTCGAAGTACTCGTGAAGACGTACTTCAGGGGATCCTCATCCTCTCCAATGTGAAATGCTCTTAGTTAGCGTGCTGAACGGTGGAGAAGCAGAGTTTTAACGTGTAGGGGTACGGACCACCTGGAAGGAGATGAGAGGAGACGTCAGGAAACAGTTGAACCAGAAAAATCACATCTGAGAGGCGACAAAAACATGACAGCAGACGTTAATAGGTCAAAGCAGGTAAAAGGTAAAGTTCTCCTTTTTGGATATAATTGGTGCATTTGTGTATTTATTTATTGGTCCTTTTCTGTATTTCTGCTTTCATTTCTAATCATGTCAGTTTCCATCCTTACAAACATGAAACAGAAAGAGCCACTGCCGTTTATCATTTCTGCTGATAAAACGAGACGTTTGGATCCAAATTGAGAGAAACGTGATCGCTGTGCTGAATTATCTGAACATCGTGTCCAGGAACAGATACCATCAGAAATACCACAGTTTCAGGTTAATGTGTCCAATAAGACAAGACACAAAAACAACTTTCAGATGATTAAAAAGTTAATTAATCTTCTGTTTCCACTTCTTACAAGACAGTTATCCTCAGCCGCTGACAGGTTTTCACCCTTTTTGACTTTGTCCTGGAATTAATTATTCATAAACAAGCTGCGACTTCCTCGCTGCTCATCATCATCATTTTACTGGCTTCCTGCCAGAAAGAAGTAAAAACGAAAGTCCAAACCGGTGGAACGACGAGGAGCGGGAATGAAAAGGGGAGGTCTCAGTTTGAATCTTGATTTGATTTGAAACACTTTCAGTGTTCACTTTCAGAGAAATTAAAAACATTGCTGTTTTTTTGTTTTTTTTACTGACTTATCTTATATCTCACCCTTTTTATTTACATAAAGTGTCTAAATTGATCTAAATGAAGGATATTTATTTGGCTTTTCAGTGGATATGTGGGGTAAACATCCACTTAATGGGGAATGTTTTATTTAAATATTACACTGTAATATATCTTTAACCCTCTTACACCGAGCCGTGTCAGCGCCGACACATTTTGCATCTTTTTTTTTTTAAAACACTAAGTTCTGGACCGTTTGTGCAATCTGAAAAATTTCAACGGTTCCTGAAAGCCAAGAATCTGGGCTTTTCACTGATGTATGGGGTTTTACGGTAATGTCACGTGACCAGCTGCAGAAAGCTCACGAAGCAACCTCTTTGTTTACCCTCGTCCAAAGACGCTTGGTGCAGAGTGTGGAAAGTTATGAGAGACAGCATGTTTTTTTCTCAGAGCAGAGATGAAATATTTTGCTAGAAATTATCTTTTTGGTTTTTATTCATTTAAAACTGATAATACACTATTTTAATATGCAATAAATTTTAATTAACTGCCAGATATTGAAAATATTAGTTATTGAAAAAGGTTCAAAATTATTTACTCACAGGACAATTATTGGCCTTTTTTCAGGTAAAATAAGCCAAAAATGCCAGGTGGAAATTTTGAGCTTTTTTGACCCTTAGGTGTTAAAGGGTTAATTAGGCAAAATTCATAATCTGTTCAATAAAACATTTCAGTGAAGTGGCTGCACAGACCGGTACGTCTTTATACTGTAAATCACAGATTGAGTCGGGGACGCCACGTCCTGCACCATTGTGGATTATTAGAAACGACGTGAGCATCGCTGCAAATAAGAGGCGTGGAGCTGGACTCAGAAAAACGTCACATTTCATGCTCTGAACACACGATGTAAAGAAGTGATTTGTTTACACGAGTGTCTGGCACAGACCTGGGTTTTTCATTTGGTAATGGTTGATCAAGGCCAGAGCCTCCATGGCATCGTTGATGGACTCCCACTCTAACAGACCTGAGGAGCTGCGGTCGCTGCGATCGGCACCGTCTGATTTTAAAAAAGAAAGAATCCAGATTATTTATCTGCATCAACCTGATAATAAACAGCAACCAGACGACAAAACTTACTTTTCCCTGTGAACAATTTGACGTTAACGGGGGTCTTGACACCAATTTCTTCACAAATCTGAAAGAGATTTAGTTGTAAACATTAATAAAACTATTTCAAACATTCATGTAATGAAGTGTTTTTTTAACCTCTTCAGCCCCAAGGGGTTTTCTTGAAGTTTTTGCTTTAAATCCCATGCTGAAATGTAACTGAGTGTATCTCAGCATTTACAAACTACTTAAATAATCTTAGCATCAAAATAAAGCTAACTTTTGAGAGATTTCATCAGAAGTGTTTGTATTAAAACAGCTGCTGTGGTTTTAGACATATTGGGGATGAAACAATATTTAATTTTTTTTTCACTCTCACCTGAATAATTTTTTCTTTTGACAGTATATAACCCATTTCAAACCATAATGAATCAGACTAAAAACTCTTGGAAACCATAAATCCACTTGTGGACATCACCTGTGCAAAGATTCATGCTGCTGAAATTAACTGGAGCAAAGTTACAGAGGTTTTAGTAAAGAAATTTTGTGTTTTGTCATTCTGCACAGGACAGACCATGATGGTACCGTTAATAAATGTTAATAAATGTTAAGAAATCTGAAGTTTTTACATCCAAAAGTTATTTTTTCTTACCTGCCTAAAAGACTTGTTATTGAATGTTTTATTTTTTAATTTATCCAAACATTTATTTGTCACCATATATATTACATAAAATTATATTTGACTTCAGTTGGATCAAATTCACTCAAAATCAAGTAAAATAAAACTTTCAACACACTTTACAACATATTTAGGTATCTACTTTGACTTACTTTAAAAAATCATATCAAAAAATTTTGCTTTACAGATTTGTTGTAACACATTTACAGATTTAGCAGAAATAGAAAACAGGAAAAGTTGTTTTGCTCAAGAGGTTCAGACCTGAGAGAACGTCTCTGTGGAGGCGTCGGGCTGAGCGTTGAAGAAGTGCAGCACGTTACTCGGGTGCTGGATGCGGTTTTTGGCGGCCTGTTCTGGGGACGTGAAGCGGTTGTTTCTGGAGTTGTGGAAATCTTTGAAGCTGCTGGTGCCGTCCTCCAGGTCGTAGAACTGCCCGGGCACGATGGCCTGCTGCTTGGACACGCTGCAGGAAGAGAACATTTATTGGGTTGAAAAAGGTTTTCCTCTTGTTGCAGATAAAAACACGTCAGCAGAGACAGAGAGGTTTCTGTGAACAGGTGACCCAACTGCACGGAGCGGTCCGACCGCTGCCCCATCCCCTCAGAGAGCTGACATGTATGGTCACACACCCTCGTGTGTCAGAGTTTAGGTGTCAGTTTGACTCATCTGCCTCAGTTTTCAGTTGAGTTTGGAGGTAAAACAGAAAAAGGAGGAATCAGTAAAAAAGGTTCAATAAGCTTTAAGGCAGCTAATTTTAATCTGCTGCCATGTTTGCTCCGTGTGACATGTGTTCAATCATGTCTGATGACTGAACCGTGACAGGTATGTTGAGTCTTCAACAACTCACCAAACATTCAGTTTCTGCCCGAATAGGAAGTTGTTGTTCAGGTGTGTGATGGCTCGATCCACGGCGTAACAGTCTCCCATTTCCACCATGGCAGCTCCAGGTTTGCTCTTCATGAACTTGATCTGTGACAGGAGACAGGGGACAGGTCGGACCAGTTTCCTTCCCGCTGAGAAACCTCTTGCTGACAGGAAACCAGCGAGCCGTGAGCTCTCTGAACGCCAGTGTTTCTGCGCACACAGCTCTCCTCTAACTCTTGTTTGTAAAGGACTTCCTGTCAAAGATCTACTCTGCTGATAAACCTTTGTTTTTAAATCTTTTCCAACATTATCCGCCTTAACAAAAACAACTTGAAATATTAAATTTACAACAAGGTGCTGCTATTTTTAAACACAAGAATGAAAACATTTCTATTAAAAGAGTCTGAGGGGAAACAGAACCGACACTGACCCGCTCCACGTTCCCGTACAGACAGAAGATGTTGAAGACACGGTCGGCGTTCATCTTGGAAGGATCCAGGCCGTAAACCATGACGACCGGGGAGTCAGCGTGGGCGCCGTACTCACCGGGGGGCGGGGGAGGGGGTCCGTAGCCGGGGCCGTAGCTCCTCCCGCCGCGCCCTCTCATCGGGGGACCCATCCTGCGGCCCTCATAAGGCGAGGACCCGTAGCTCTCGTCGTAGCCATGGTAACCGCCTCCTAAAGAACGAGGCAGATCCCCGGATGAGACGGAAAATAAAACTAAAATAAACAAACGTACACAAGTGAAACTTCAGAGGAAGTACAGAAACGAGTCCGGTGAATAATTAAAATATTTCAGAGCTGCATCACCATTGTAAACAGGTCTGCAGACTTCCTGCACCCTTTTTATTTGGACTCATTTAGGATCATTTAAGCTCAGTTTTCAACATTTAGAAACACGTTTTTAAAGTTTTTAATTAAATTGAAGTGAAAATGGGGAAAAAAAGCAAGTTTTGTTTCAGATCTGAGCCAAACTTCAACTAATCTGCACGTTTTATTGTGCCGACTCTGGAGTTTTCATCTAATGAAAACAGGATAAAGATTTTTGTGTTAAAAAAAAGGCACAACGGTTCAGTGGTTAGCACGTTTCTCTAACATTTGAACCTTACATCAACCTTTGTTTATTTTCTCAGTTGTTGCCCACTTCAGACAAGACAAGCTACAGCTGTTGTGTTTACTTTGCCACTGATGAAAACCAATTCAACTAAAGGAAACCATCATATACAGAACAACCAGTCTCTGGAATGTTTCGCCTTTTGATTTAAAAGTGTTCGACAGCTGCAGTGAATTTAAGGGTACTTTAAAGAATATGTTATTGAAGAAGAGACAGTTTTCAGATTGATGTTGTTTAATGAATTTATTATTGATTTCATTGTGTTTTCTGAGTCCTCAGTAGGGTTTTGAACGAGTTTTAAAATAGTTTTTGTTTTCGTGATCTTCATGTTTTGTATTTGAGGTTTTGAACTGGCTCCTTTCCTTTTAATTTATTTTTAATTTTGTTGTTTCGATGAATTGTGTTTTATTTTAATGTGTTTGTATTTTTTGTTGTTAGGCCCCAGGAAGAATAGTCTCTGCTGCGATAGAGACTAATGGGGACCCTAAATAAAAGATAAAGTGGTTAGCACCGACGCCTCACAGTAAGGTGGTCCTGGGTTTGATCCCTGGTTTGGACCTGGGGTCTTTCTGTGTGGAGGTTACATGTTCTCCTCGTGCTTGTGTGGGTTTTCTCCGGGTATTCCGGTTTCCCCCACCACTAAAAACATGTACAATAAGTTGCCTTCAGGGCTTGAAAAAGAGATCTCAACGGGACTTGCCTGGTTAAATAATGGGAAATAAATAAATAAAAACTGTATAGGGATTAGAATACATGGTAGTTTTCAAGCTGTGCACACAACTACAGGCCTGAATTTTTAGCTCAAACACAGAATTTAACAGGACTGCAACTGAAAATTCAGCAGCAGTTTAGTGAAACACTTCCTATAAACTCCTCAAACTCCCTCCGAACTGCCGACGTCGGCAAGGGTTGCTGCAGTTTCATGACGAAAATTACGTCTCGGGGCTTCTCAGTCGATCGACAGCCCCTTTATGCACAACCGGCCGGCAGAACTTTTTACCCCTCTCCTGCGATGACGGTAATGTGTGATTGGTCTGAAGTTCGTGGGCGTGTTTGTTTGTGCTGAAACTGAAAGTGCTCGGACACTCAAAAGGAAATAAATAAATAAATTAATTAATTAAATAAAAAACTAGATTCTAGAACAGACTGTTGAAGCTGAGTTTTATAAAGATAGTCAAACCAATAAAAACTCATGAATGGAGATTAAACAGACGACGTGCACGGAGGAATCTGATAACAACTGTGGAGCTTTAACCAGGACAGATGTGGATAAATACGTCGGGTGAGTGACGAGTCTGACTTTTTAATCTGAATTGTCGGCTGTTGCGGGGAGTAACTCCATGCAGTGACGTATGCTGCAGCGGGAGGGGGGGGGTTTCCCGAGCTCAGTGCGGGGTGTCTCTGGAGCTATGAAATTTCTGTGCGAAAACGACTGCCGAACAACCACGTGACCGCGCGTTGACCCGTCGGTGTCGGAGCGAGTATGTTTCCAGCTTTAGCAATGATCGTGGGTCTTTTCCTGCTCATTCTGAGTAAAACGTCTCACCATATTCTGGGGGGTGGTCTCCCAGCAGGGCGGGCTGTCTCTGGCGCTTGTTTGGGTTGGCGTTCACATCTTCTATGAAAACAGGGAGGAGAAGACAAACACAGCCACATAAATAATGAGGAGAAACAAATAAATAAACACATTTACAGAAGAGTGGGACGCCCAAGAATAAAACACAGAACAAACATAGCTCGCCTCAACACAAATGTGTTAGGATTATAATCAGAGATAATCCAGATTAGGGGACATGCACCTTAAAAACCAAACGAGCAAACAAACAATCCTCCCCCCACATTAACAATAACTACCACTGGTTGAATTTAGTATCAGAATTAGTGAGGAGAAATGAGGAGGGAGGTGTTGGTTTAAGATATGAAGACCAACGTGTCCTAAAGAAATGACCACTTTAATCCAAAGCATCCACACAGGTGGCCTGAATCAGAACAGAAGAACATGGTAAAGATGAGGTGGATGCTGATGATCTGGACGTGTAAAACGAAGGGGTGGGTGTGTGTGGGGGAGGAGCTTCAGTCACTCTGAACAGTGTGTCACAAATGGCTAAGTTTAAGAAGTAAGAAGTTTGTACGCTCACACACACCTGAACCGCTTCCATTGCCATCGGCATCACCATCTGTACGGGTACACAATCATACACAATCAAAATGGAAGCCAGGTTAAGCAAATTTACAGTTTCTTTAAATATATTTATGTATATGTGAGCCGTCACATCGAAACGAGGATTAAGTCTAGAAGTTGTCAGTGGAGAAACAGGCAGATGGTTTTGATTAAAAAAACGCTTGCAAAAATTACATTTTGTAAAAATATAAGTGTTATGAATGTATCATTTCAATGAACTGTCTGAAATAGTATGCTAAAAAAGATTTTTGAATCATTTTTGAGCAGTAGCAAACAAAAAACTGATGAGGAAAAACGCCTTAAAATGTTGAGATTTTCACTGTGAGCTGTCAAAGCTTTTGTTTCTTTCCAGCTGGGAAATCTCAATATTCAAATACTATGAGTTTTTTTTTTTCAAATGACATAAAAAATCCTCATTAAAATTACATAAAATTAGGATTTAGATCAAATATTTATGCATTATTGTAACCAACAAAACAAATTAAATAATAGCTCTGGATCTACTAATGATATCAGGATGATCTAAGTATCAAAATGTAGCTTTTAAATCAGGGCTATTCAACTACAATTTTCTGGGGGCCACAGTTACTGCAGGGCAACAGCTCAGAGGTCGAACATCCAGCAAATAAAGTTATTATGTAAATAAAACCAAGTATTGCAAAGATCTGTTACCTTTAAAATAGTTTATTTTACTGCATTTAATCATGAATACAACATACAGAACCCAATAAAAGTAGTGATAATTAAACAATATCAAAAATAAAAACACATAATGCCTCATATTTAACACAAATAATATTTTGACATCTCTGACTTGGCACATTTTTAAACAAATTTTATTTTCACTTTCATAGTTTTATCTTCAACTGTTCGTAATTTTAACTGTTTTGGATGTTCATAGAAATGGTTTTACCAGCTTCTAGCCAAGATTCTGATGTTTCTGTAGACACCAAACAACTCTATGTTTAACAAAAAGAACTTAAGAGTAATTAAAGTAGAAAACCAGGGCTTTGGGCTGAAGAGATGAATGAACCAATTGGTGGGCCGCCAGTTGAATATTCCTGTTTTAAAGCCAGGAATCTGAAATTAGGTCATTTTGAACAAATTCGACTTAATCCTCATTTCGATGTGATGGGTCACATTTATTAAATGGAAATTACCCCCACCTAAATGTCAGGAGAGTGTAATAAATCTGCTTCTAACAATCTCATCTGCTTGAACAACTGTTCAGAGAATTGAGTGAAATCTGATGAAGCCCAGCAGCCAGGTGAGGCTGGTGGACGAACCGTTTCTCCTGACGCTCTCAGGTTCACGTCCAGTTACTCTAACCCCCGAGGAGAAGTGTCACAGAGCTGAACCAGCCACATGAGTGTGTCAGAGGGAGTATCAATGTGTGCGGCTTTCGGAGCGGGCCTCGGCGACGTGTATGAGCGAACACTTAATGTCTGTCTGGTTTGGCCGTGTTGGGGGGTTCTGGGTTTGGTGTGGTGCTGTGCAGGTACTTTCCGAGGAGGGTCTCGAATTACTTACTGCATTGGTTATTAACAGTGGGAAGGCACTAGCCGCAGGAGCTCCCTTCACTTTTCGTTCATTTCATCCCACACAGTCTCTCCTGTTTGAAGGAGGGGGGGACAACGCTCCACCTCAGGACAGGCTCTGGCTTTTATCAAATGCTCACAGCTGAGATGGTTGGCTGCTCCGGCCTTTGTGATCCGTTTTAGAGGAATAGCCTGCTTAGCGTCCACCGGCAGGCTGCCATAGAGCACATTTCAGTTGGGGAGGGGTGGCTCCGCTTAGCCGCAAATTAACCTGCATTACATGGAAGGCATTACACAGGTTCTACAGAAACTCAGGTACTTTAGGAGAAAAAAAAATTCAATAATAAAAAAAATATATATCTAAACAAGGAAAATATGACAAGAAAACCAGAAAGAGCAAGAAAGAGAAGCTGAACTCCATGTAGGGGAGGGGGAACATGTGGGGACTAAGCAGAAATGTGCTGGGAGGTGTTGTCAGCAGTGTCCTGTCTTCGGATGCCTTGTGTTGAATGCCGCTGATGGGTGGTGTAGGTCAGGATCAGTCGGTGCAGCGTCGGCAGTATGTCGCTCAAAGTGTTTGGTCTGCATGTCGAGCGGCGTGACGAGCGCAGCCCCCCACCCACAGACACGGTGAAATGTGCTGCTTGTTTGTATCAGTGCGCGGCGGCGGCTGGGGGTGAGGGATGTCTGTCTGTACCTTCTTTGTTTGTTGGGTGGAGCTGTGCGTCCCTCTGGTGTTAAATCTTCAGTTTTTTTGTGTCGACGGTGGAGCGTTGTAGATGCAAGGTGTGGTCTGCTTCAGTGTGTCGCTCGCTTGTGTCTCACAACAGGAAAAGATGGAAGAAAGAGAAAAGAGGTGGGGGGAGGCACCGAGTGTAGCTCAGGGCCCAAACACTCCCCGCACCCTTCAAATGTCTTCATGGATCTTTAAGAATGAAGAGATGAGGAATGACTGGTGTATCAGTCCTACTTCGTCATGTGGAGTGGGTGGTCCTCGGCCCTCTGTATGAGTGGTTGTGTCCTTACTGAAGACAGTGGACTGACGGCTGCGTGGTGGTGGTGGTGGTGTGCATACACCTGCACTTCCCTCAGCACCAACATGAGCATGTTCTCACAAGAGCACAGACCACAGCTCGTTAACTCATGCTGGTCTGTGCCTCCGACTTTTTAACACAAAAAGACCATTTCTGTTTTCATGTCGAAAAATTAAAACAAAAATTTGGGATAAATCTTGTGCCAGCAAGAATTGAATTTGAATGCATTGGTTTGACAATAAATGTCACTAAATTGAAACTGAATTAAAAGTTTTGTATCTGAATTAATTTGCTTTTAAACTGTATTTTGGCTTATTAAAAATTCAGTTTTGACTACTTTCACTTTTAGTTCCATTATTCAGATTTTTGTGTCACATCCTGGTCCTTGAGAAAGCCAGGCAGAGTAAACAAACACAGATCCACAGATTTACGTTTCACTTTTGTTAAGTTTCCCTTCTCTATGTAACAGAGTTGATGTAATCCACTGTAAAAGTGACAGTCATGGATCAGTCAGCAGCAGCATCTGATCAATATGTGATCCATGATGTAAATGTAACATTTTCTACATATAGGTAAAATTAATCACTGCAATAAAATAACTTTGTTTTTTGTCACTTTTACAGTGGATTGCATCAACTCTGTTACACACAGAAGGGAAACTTCACCAAAGTGAAACATAAATCTGTGGATCTGTGTTTGATTACTCTGCCTGGCTTTCTCAAGGACCAGGATGTGACACAAAAATCTGAATTATGGAACTGAAAGTGAAAGTAGTCAAACTGAATATTTAATAAACCAAAATACAGTTTCAAAGCAAATTAACTCAGATACAAAACTTTAAATTCAGTTTAAATTTAGTGAAATTCATTTTCAAACCAATGCATTCAAATTCAGTTCCTGCTGGCACAAGATTTATCCCATACAAAAAACACTCTTAAACTTTAAATGCAACCATTTCATACGGAGAAAACTCGATTCCTGTGTCTTTAAACAAGATTCCCAGGTCGGGAGGGAAGCAGGAACAGCAAATGCAAGCAAAAAGAAAACGTGCCCCCAAGAGTTTGTTATAACAAGCACGTCAACAATCCTTTGAGGAGGTAACAGTCAACACCCATTTGTCAAACAAAGTATTTCTGCCCTCACTGTGCTGCTTGTTTGACAGGAAAACTCATGCAGTTTTAATTCAGACTAAACTGAAATAATATTGATTTAAAGTTTCTCCCAAACATGAAGTTATTAATTCTGTTCTGAACAGCTCGGTGAGAAACTTAACCCAGAAGTACAGCTAAGAAATATGGAAAGAATATAGTCTAAATTGAATTTAAAATAAAACATGCACAATGTCCAAGTTTCTGAGGATTACGGTAATCATAATTTTCTTATAATTTAAAAAAAATTAAAAAATGCAAAGTGTTCTGGTTAAATGAAAACATGAAGCAGACTAAAACTGACGTCATGAAGCAGAAAACTTCAGTGGTTCCCAATCCTGGTCCTCAAGGACCCCTATCCAGCATGTTTTACTTGTTTCCCTGCTATTCAGCAGGTCTTCAGAAGATTGTTAATCACTCATTCATTCAAACCAGGTGTGTCAAATCAGGGAAACATCTAAACATGCAGGAGAGGAGTCCTTGGCTAGGTTCACACTGCAGACAAATGTGACCCAAATACGTTTTTTTGTCCCATCTAACCCATATCTGATTTTTATGACAGTCTGAACGCGACAAATCAGATTTTTTTCAAATCCGACCCAGGCCGTTTCGGTATGTGGTTCTAAATCAGATGTAAATATCTGATGTTTTCAAAGTGACTGCAGTCTGAATGCTCGTGTCACATTCCATCAGACTCTTTCATCAGTGAGGTGGGGGTGAAGGATCGATAGGACACAAACCTCAAGTCACGCTGTTTAAATCTGTAGCTCCATGTGTTTACAGCTCCAAAACACAAGTCCAGTTGCTTCGTCTTTTTACTTTTCATTTTCCATGTAGATAGCAATTTCCAGCCTGGGTCGGAGAGTATCGATCCTAAAGTTACTCAGTCAATACTTCATTTACAGCTCGTCGCTTCGTTCAAAAATAAAATGCTTCACCGGAGCATCGCGGTCAGAGGCAGGTTCAGATATAAACACTGAACTAAACAAGCACGTCAGATAATTATTTAATCGGCTCCAAGATTAAACAACAGCTTCAGATTCAACGTGCACAAAGTAGCATCCTTGCTAACTCAGTAAACAAACAAGCCAGCTGAAGGAGACGGCACGTCTTTACTGCACGTGACACATCAGCACTGTGTAGCGTTCACACAGGAGTCTGATGCAGGTCACATTTAAAATGTAATGTGAACATTCACACCAAAAGATGGGATTAAAAAAAAAAGATTTCGGAATTGAGCATTCCTCGAGGTAGGCCTTGAGGACCAGTGTTGAGAATCACTGCTTTAAAACATGTTATCTGATTTATTATTTACAAATAAATGGCAAAGAATCAATGGCTTCTAGAAGCAATACTAAAAACCATAAAACTGAGTCAATATTAAATTTTGAAAATGTCTCAAACTCAGAAGCTCTTGAGGTGCTGCTGAATAGCAGGGAAACAAGTCAAACATGCTGGATAGGGGTCCTTGAGGACCAGGGTTGGGAACCACTGAACGTATTGTTTACAGTAAAACCAGAAAAGCTAAGCTAGTATATACATGAAGGCAAGAATCTAGAAGGACGACATTCCACAGGAAATAAAAATGATATCCTGAAGATATCCACAGGTGAATCATTTTAGACACTTTCCAGTCCGTGGAAAACAAAAACACGCCAGGTTTATAAAAAAAACAAACATTGACGCTCAACGCTGTCATCTTTCTGTCTGCAAACGTGTTCCTGCCAATCCCAACACACAGCACTGTTAGTGTTTACTGAACAAATATTTACAGTAAGATCGAACCTCTCCTCTGTGTGTGTGTGTGACCCCGACAGGTCGAACGCCACACAAAATGATTCCAACATGTTATAAAGTAGGCGGTTTAAGCTGTGTGTGTGTGTGTGTGTGTGTGGATCAGTGTGTTTGGTGGCAGTAATGGAGTCTAACAGTGATCGCTCAAGGTGTGTTTGGGGTCTTACCTGAGCCTCCCAGGTTGGGGTTGGTGTAGTCCCACGTGTCCTGGTCGTTCTTGAACACATTCAGACGAGTCGGCTGCAGAAACACAAAGATTCATTTCCTGTCAGTAAGAAGCTCCGGCCCTTCAGGTTAATTTCCTCATCAGTTCCAGAAACAAAAACCAAAGACTTTTAATAAATAGTAAAATCAAAATATTAAAAAGGCATCGTTTTAAAGCTGCATCACTTTAAATATTAAATGACCTTTTATTAAGCAAATAAAACAATACAGCCTCTACTCATGTTAGCACTTAATCTACTTGATCTATAATTTATAACTGTATTTCCCGATTTGCAATTTAATTGATACGATTATGCCCAACCCTAATATCAGTCTGTATTCTTTATTAAAACTAAATTGTGGGTTATAGTGAACTGAAGCAGCTGCTGCATCTGGACTTTCCCAGATGGTAATCAGGTCAGGACAGGCATAGCTGAGAGCAAATATTTTTTTAAGTGGCTGGTACAAATAAATAATAAAAATCGGTTTAACTCGTGTCAGATCACTGTTAATGTTATATGTTTAGTATATGATGTGATCCTGGTGAGTTACAGGTAACATCTGTGAGAGATGTGAAGGTTGAAGAGTAGCTGGCGACTGATGTAATTTGGGTGCCAGAGAGACAAACAAGACAAGCACACACTCATTCACACCAAGCAACCAGCTGGAAGTTAAACCTGCAACCTCCTGCACCACCAACATTTAAAAGGAATGTTTACATAAACACATTCTGTAAAGACGTCTGTCTCGTCCTGCCGTCGTACCTTTGCGTACTCAATCTTCAGAGTGCAGCAGCCAGAGTAGATGTCGGCCCCGTTGAGCGACGCCTTGGCTCGCTGAGCACTTTGCACCGAGTCAAACGTGATGACAGAGTTAGGGAAAAGAAACCTCCTTTAAATGAGGAATTTTTCTGTGTGGTTACAAGGAACTCTTTGTGGATCGAAGATTTCAACTCTTAAGAGCCACTCTGGGTGAATTCCTGACTGTTGATGTAAAGATGACACCACTTATGTGCTTTCTTTCAGTGAAGCGTTAAATTGAGTCCTCTGTTTGCTGTCAGCTTACAGGATAACAACGTAACTCAACACAATGAGTGAAACCATTTAAAAAAGGATATTCAACCATGGCCTGAACGCCGTTCTTCCTAAAGATGACGATTCTCTGCACGGGGCCACAGTTGTTGCAGATGGTGTAGAGGACATCCTGAGAAAAGCGTACAGAAAGATAAAGGTTATCTCCACAACATCACCGCATTTCATCTTATTTTAAAATAAGCTTGAAGCGACAAGATAGGCATCGAGTCCATCTAATGGAGGCTGGGAATGTTTGTTTCATGCCAAGTGCTCTTCTCTACCAGTAAATTCTGTTATACCCGGTCCATCCGGACCCCACGTTACCTGGCACCGCCTGAAGCAACAACACTTTTACCCACAAGCATGTTTCACAATTCAATTCGCTGTCGTAGCTTGCAACTGAAACGTGTTTCCACATGCGCCAGGTGAAAGACAACATTTAAAAATCAAAAGTAAATAATCAGCAATTAGTGTTCATGGTGCTGTCAAACTCAAATTTAACAACATTTGGTGCTGAGTTAACTGACAGTCTGAAAACTTGGTTACCCTTTAAGTGGGCTTGTTCAATTAAAATGACAGAAAATGGTCTCTGTCGCAAAAACAAAGCCCACAAAAATACAGCCCTGATTTACGGGACTAAAGAGGAGAATGAAAGGGACGTACAAGATGAGTTAACTTTTCAGTTATATCAATTGGGGCAAAACACCAAGTTTAACCAGTTTTATTTATGACAATTTGCTATAAATAGATTCAACCCAATACTTTATTTTAAATTATAATAGAGCCATCAGATCTAAGAAAAAGGCCTCCTAAAATGTTTGTGAATTTGTGAAACACCTACTATCAGACATTTCCAACGATCCTGATGCACCTGTTATTTGATTTTAGAAACCTTGTCTTACAAATATTAGGTCTTTATCTAATTTGGAGCCATATGGGACGGAGAAGTTAGAATTTTATTTTAGTACTGGTTCATTTCTACGTGCGGACTTGAACCTGCACATCAGTGCAACTTTGAGCGTACCGTGGTGATGGGGTAGATGGGGTTCATGATGGTGAAGAGGAGAACGTTGTTAACGCTCCTGGAGTCGTCAGAGTCTCCCGGCCTGGAAATCTTCTTACTGGTAGAATAGTTGATGAAGGCCGGGTGGCCGGCGATGTAGACTTGGTTGTCTGCCGCGTAAGTGACGGCCGTAGACGACCCGTTCATGTCCTCGTACTCCACCAGGGCCTGGCGTTTGTTCGGCATCACAACCACATAACTGAAAGAAAATAATTATTATTATTATTCAAGAGTAGTACTTTGCAGGTTATGACCTCTTTGTGAAAATAAACAAAATCCCATTTTAAAAACAAGACAAGATGGTTATCTTAATACCTGATGGCTCCAAACTCCTGCAGGGCCTCCACAATGTCGGCCTCCGTGACGCCATCCATCAGACCACGAACATGAACCACCACCGAGGGAAGGGTCTTGTGTGGGTCTTCGTACCCCTACAAAAATAAATAAATATTGATGCATTCCGTTTGACTTACTAAGACAATAAAATGACCGCCACGTGAGTCACAAACGTGCTCAGAGCTGTTTGCTCAGAAAGAGATGCTAACCCTGGGATTAGCTAGCAAAACGAAAAAAGGGGGTCGATTAGCCTCATCGTTTGTGCGTTTATTTCTCATTTAATCGCCACACATCTAGTATTTATTTGTCGTTTACGTATTAGTTTAAATCAAACAATGACGCAAACGTATTTGCGCAAAGTAAATGAGCCTTATTGATTCATCCCATCTCAAAAAGGTCGTCTCCCGTGTAAGAGTACCGTTAGCATCCGGCTAACGCAACTCGACACCGTTACCAGAACAAAGCCGGACTCCGACGAGGCCCGGCCGGGGAAACCGCCCTCCGACGAACTCATTCCGGTTGAAGATTTGCACAGGTTAATGCGTGCAACTAAAATCCTTGGTGAAATAAACAGCGTCAAATTGCTTTACTTTTTTTTTTAAATTTGAGGTGTTTTTGGAACGACGTAATAATTCTTGATTCGGTGACCCGTGACGACGTCGCGACACGTTTTCACAAGCCGCTTCAAATTAATCCAGCTCTGTCAAATATAACACGGACTGCATTTATCCTACAAGCGAAAACCGTCCCTGCCAACATGCAACCAACTGACCGTGGCCATTCCGTCGGTTTTCTGTCGTTTCGATGCCCTGCCGTCTTCGCTGTGGTAACGGCTCGCTGCAGTAGCCATGTTGTCCCGGTTAAAAAGAACGGCGGTAGTGACGGTGAAGTGAAATGGACGGAAAATTCATGAAAAACCAGGCAGGCGAGGCCACACCCATTCCAACGAAACTACGAACCGTGATAGGTTCGCTTGGCTGCCAATCTGTTTGTGACACAACTCTCAGCCAATAGGAAGGCAGATAGTCACTGAAATGTTCAGGCTTGAAAAACGAGGGCATCAAAGCGTTTTTAATGGCAAACTTATGACTATTTTCGTAAAAATATAACTTTAAGGCAAATATACTATTTTTGGGGGTCTTATTGTTTATTACTTTAATCAAAACTTGTATGAGTAAAAACATACTTAAAAATCATGGAAGATAAAACACAACATAACACTAAAAGCAGTCAATAAAACTTTTTCTGAGTGACTCATGTAGTCTGAAATCTGCAATTTATCATCAGCCCTAAAGTGGTACACTGAGGTAGTGATTTAACTATATAAAATTAATTGTAAAATATATTCTTCACTGTCACTTCTCGACTAAACATGATTAATGACACATCAGAAGACCAGCTCATGGGTTGAAGAGGTTTATTCAAAAATTAAACTGCAATATTTATTTATTTTTTACCCAAGAACAGAAAAAAAAAAAAAAAGAAACGAAACAAAAAACATTACAGTAGCTCCTGCAGGAATCAAACTTCAGCACTTGTTTTTATTTTAAAATCAGAGGAACAAAAAAAAACCAAAACAGGAGGGCAGCTCTGCAACACGGCTCGTGTCTGTAAATATTAAGATGTAGCAGAAAAAATATATGGGAGATCAAATTTAAATGCATGCAACAACTAAGTCTTAATTGGTGTGGTTTAAATCTAAAACAAATGGATTTTACAAAGCAAACATGAACTCGAAATGCTGCAAATTTGTATTTATGGCCAATATTTTACACAAAAAGACTAATTCTGACATTTGAACTGTTTTTTTAGGTAATAAAATTTAGCTGCATTTAATGTTAGAACTTTATTACTGCTAAAACGCTGGCAGCATTAGAAACAATCCTCATTAACATTTCTGTGCTACAACTAAATCAAGATTTCAGTCCTGGAGGAGGGGAAAGAAAGACGCAACTCTGGGACAAAAAGAAACCAAACTGCTGCTGCAGGGCTGTAAGAGCAGACAGAATGCAGGGGCTGGGGGGATTTAGGGAAGTAGTTTGAGAGGGGGGCTAACTCTTCATCTCAGTCATCATCAGCAGGTGTAGGGCTTCGGTTTGGACTTGCTGATCGGGAGCGACTGAAACAGAAACAGAGGAATTTGCGTGACACAAGGAAATGGAATAAAAACAAGCAGAGCTAAATAAATAAATAAATAAACTACAAATATATTAAATAATAAACACTGATGCTGATATTTACAAGCCCCAAATACTTGATTTAATAAATCAAAAAGGTCATAATTTTTGTTGAATTATTGCCAATAAATCCTCAACACTACTTCTTACTGTGAAATGAAACTATAACTGCAAACAACAGAACATGTTAAGAACATTAAAATATGAGATCAGATTTCAGCCCATCGTTACACAAAGTGCCTGCCTGATTCCCACACATCCAGCCCAACAAACACTCTCACATCCAGCCGCACATCTGCACTCTGAGCATGCTTCTTTAGCAAACCTGCAACATGAGCTTGTCAGAGGAGGGGGGTTTGTTTTTTTGTTACCTTTGCAGACAGCGGTAGAAACAACAAGTACAGAGAAGCGAAGGATCAAAGGACTGAAGGACGGATGACTACAACTCGAAGAGACACTGCGCCGGGAGGCTCTTGAAGACTGATCTCTCGTCAGCTCTTTCTCTCACTTTCAGAAGCTAAGACAGAGGCGAAGAACTCTGGCAGGGAGGTACTGGGCTTAAAAACCCTGATCTGTGCGGGATCAGCCCTCTGGTAGATCTGAAGGCTGGCCGGGTGACTCTAGATGAACAACTGAATGTGTGTGCGGGCTGATCTCATCTGAGCGTGTGCGTCGGTCGAACAGACAGTCACTCATTCACTCTGGGGGAGGGGGAGTCGGTCGGTAGGTCGACCTCTTTCTCGACGGCTGATCTCAGGTCAGCGTTTAGTCACCCTCCCGCAGGACGTACACACCGCCAGCTGGCAGACCCTGGGCCTGGGATCAGCGGCGGTGTCTGTGCGGTGCTCAGCTCCCACCACACGCTTTAAAGAAAATATGAAAAATAAACAAAACTGCTGCAAAGATGTTTACCGCAAAAATCACACCACTGGTGCTGCTTTTATCTAACGTGTTGATTTACCCAAATTCAGGAGAGCCAATAGAAAAATAAAAGCATGTAAAACTCAACCTCTACCCTGAATAACTAAATATTTCTGTCAGCCTTTAGTTATTTACGTGGAGCAGGGCTGAGATCAATACACACAATATATCTGATTAACAAACAGACATGGTGTTTGCTCTCTTTTCCAGGTCAAAACAAACCAATCAGGTCAGATTGAAAACAATAGACCACTTTAAGTGATGTCATCAGTGTGTGTGCACAGGATGTCACCATGCTGGAAGACAAACAGAGACAATAATGGATCAATTTGCAACTGCTCAGTTCGATGGCCCAGAAACTTGGCTGAGAAGACGAGCAACAAAAACTGAAAGATGTGAGGAAAAGGGACGAATGATTTCAAACGAGCTGTAAGACCACAAGGCTACAAAAGCCCCGAGGTGTTACGTCGTCTTCCAACATGGCAACTGGGCCGCGCGCACACAGGAAGTGACATCCCCGGGGAGGTGTCGGACACAGAAAAAGAGAGCACCTCACATCTCCCTAACCCTCCCATGTCTCTGAGTTTCACCTCACCCAGCCCGCTGCTGAAAAACTCTGAACTCTGAAGAGGCCGAAGGGTCTCGGTCCGTCGGATCGTCAGGCGGCAGCAGGACCACTCCCAGGTGGAAACAGGAAGTCCAGTCATCAGGTACTTCTGGCCTACGCTAAGGTTTTAAACATGACTGACCCTCATCTGGAACACAAGACCTCTAAGATCTACGTTTGTTTACCCTGACCTCCCTGAAGCTTTTCCTACTGGTGATATTCTACACATGTATGTATGTATGTAAATAAATAAATAAATACATTTATTACACGGCCCACACCCCTGCTTCAGTGAATAAACAAACATCCAGACAGAGGGTTTACCTGGTCCGTTTGTGGTTGGCTGACGGAGATCGAGAGTGGGACCGTGAGGCCGAGCGTCCTCTGGGTGCAGAGCCGGACCGAGACCGGGACCTGGAACGACTAACAGAGACAACAGAGTATTTTACAAGATGCAGAGAGTTTATCGTGAAATTTAAACTGTTTCAACTCTTCGGTTAATCTGAAATCAGGAACATGTGGTTCAGGTTCCTCTTATCTCACTGAGATCTTCTGATCTCCGTGTTAAAGAGTCTCACCGGCACGGCAAAGGAAGATTCCTGGACCAGAACTATTTAAGCCAATTAAGATATAATATTGCAAAGGTTGAATGATACACGCCAGCAACCATTTATAAAGAATATGTCTTCTTTTTTTATTTTTGTTTGAAAAAGGCCAAATTATCAACACAAACAAAACTGACTTGGGTTTTTAGCCACAGTAACTGTTCAACAGTTGAACTGAAAGTCTGAATATTTTCATTCCTTTGCGGTAAAAAGTAGAGCTGTCCCGATACCGATACCAGCATCAAGTACTCGTACTTGTAAAAGCCGGCCGATACTCTTAACCGATACCGCTTTTGTCCCCTTTTTTGTTCCTCCTGTGCTGCGCCGCAGCACAAAGGGTAAACAACAATCCATACCAGGCGGGGGCGCTAATGTACTGACAAGTTATTTCCGACCGCACCCCCGAATGACAGAAGAAGAACGATGAGGAGAAGAAGAAGAAGAAGTAACGTCGGCAGTTGGGAGATATTTTAAGATCGGCACGGAGGACACAAACAAGCAGACTGTCTGCTGTGCTCTGCTAAACTGTCAAGAGGAGGAGCTAAAGTTGGATGTTTTAACAGCAGCAATTTGATAAAACATTTGAGGACAAGACATGACAAAGAATTCAAAGAGTTTGCTGCTGCTAGCAGTAGCCTTCATAAACAGCACTATGCTGCAGTTGTTGCAGTAACTTCAATGCTGTTTTTTCATTCTTGTAGAACAAACTAAGACATAAGCAGGAAATGGAAGGAAGTTTGTTGTAAAA